CCGCAGTGCGGGCCCGCGTACCTCCAGGCGGGCGGCGGGCAGCTCATCAGGTTGCAGCGCGGCCCGCCCTGTCAGCAGGCGCCTGACGGCCGCCATCTGGGCCTGGGGCTGACAGCAGGGTGTAATGGCTGTGGGGGCGGTGGGGGCGGGGCGGTGACAGGTAGGCGGCTAATAGGGGCCACCCTGAGCGAGCACGTCTCGGGCTGGGGGGCGGTGCGGGGCCGGGAGGAGCAGGGCGCAGGCTGGCGGCGCCGAGTTGAAAAGAGGGCGTTATGTCCGCCGGGTATGGCAGGGGGAAGGGGGAGGAGGGGGCCATGAATGCACGGGAGAGAGCGGCGGGGGTGGGTTATGGGGCCCCATTCTCTCGCCGGGGCCATCTGCAGGCCGTGCACGCGGTGCGGGGCCCGGACAGTATCGGAGTGCACCCCCCGCCGGCCCCTCGTGGCCCCTCCCCCACTGCCGCCCAGGGGGCTGTCGGCCAGCGATGAGAACAAACTGCGACCCGCCCTGGTGCGGGCGACAAATCGCGGCGTGGCGTGGCGTGGTCCCCCCGCGGGGCGTCAGATATAGGCCCCCGAGGGCGCCGCGCGTGCAGGGCGGGGGAGAGGCGGGGCAGGGGCGGCCAGGACGGACCCCCGCAGGGACCATCGGCAGCCCATACAGTCCGGCGATTAGTTTCGTGAGGCCGGGAGCGCAAACGGCAACGGGCGAGGCTGCATCGGTGTCCTGCGCCCGCCCGCCCTCCGAGACGAAAGGGCCGCCCAGCTCCCAAGTAAACCTCTTTACATATACGACGCGTCGGCCCGACCCCTTACCCCTACCCTCGTTTGTTGTAGGACGACAAATGGAGCCGTCCCGGCAGGCGGATCGACAGCCTCCCTCGCATGATGGAGGGCGGGATGAAATCATTTTTCCTGCCGGCCAGCCGGCCCTTCTCCGACGCGGCCGAGGCTGGCGGGGCCGGGGCCGCCACAGGTTGCAGCCCGGGGCGGGCGAGGCGGTGCGGAGGAGCTCGGGGGAGCCGGTGCAGCCCCCGCACGCCCATCACGCTGGGCCGCGTACCGCCCCGGGCGACAGCCGGAGCGCCGTCATCCGCAACGCGCCACATCCCGTCTTCACGGGCCCTGACACCAGGCAGCACCACCACAGGAGGGCGCGGCGGGGCGGGGCGAGCAGCCGGCCCATCCGGCTGTACCCGGCCCCGCAGGGCCCGCAGGGGTGGCAGCGGGCACCGCACTGGAACAAAGGGACCGCCCTCCCCGCGCGACCCGCGCGTCCGGCTGTGTACACAGACACTGCCCCCGGAAAGAAAACTTCTTAGACTTTACGAGTTCCCGCGGAATTTCATTTCCAATCTCCGGGGTGTGCCGCCGAGCCGAGACTGCCGTCCGGGGCGGGGGTTCCCCCGCTGTCTCAAACGTGCAGGCGCCCCCGCTGCCCCTGCCCCGCTCCGCCGTGCCCCGACAACATCGGCGCCAATGACAAGAGGTCAGCGCATTCACGCTCAAGAACGAGAAGTGGCTTCTGCTACTCTTGCGAACAACAAGACACATTTCCATGGAGTGGGCAGCGGGCCGCTGCGACAGCGACGGGGATGAGCGGCTCGATACTTGTGGACTTGGTACAAAACAGAAATGCATCTGGTGTTGAGCCGGATCCACTGCCGAAAGCAGCAGCAGCGAGTCGGTGTCGTCTGGCAGCCCGGCCAATCCAATCAATGGGAGTGCCGCGCGCCCTGCCCGGCTGGGGTGACACGGGCGGGGAGGGGCGGGGGGCACATCAGCATGTTAGCCGGAGGTATCGCGGGCGGACATCTTGCTTTTATGACGTATGTATAACCCATATATATGAGGCACTCTAGACCCAGACCCCTCACATTTTATCTAGGGGGCTCCTTGCCGTGCAGCAGGTCGTAGCGATCAGGGTATCAGCCGCCCTCCACGCACGACCCCCCCCCCCTCTGCCGCACACACAGAGGTCAGACATCGCGTCAAATTTACGACAAACAGTCAGACCAGACCTGGGCCAGCTCGTGATTATACATCCACCGCTAGAGACAGCCGATCGTAATGTGTTTTTTACGGCTGCGCCTCGCCAGCCTTGCGCAGGTGGGGCGGGGCGAGCCCTGGCCGCCGGCCGCGGGGTCAGGCAGGGGGGTCAGCGCCACCCTCATGATACTCACCGAGAAGCCGTCCCTGGGCGCGCGCTCCTGGCCGGCGAGCGGCGCCGTCAGCAGCTGGCGCATCACGTCGTGCTTGATGACCACGCCGTCCACCGAGGGGCCGAAGGCCGACAGGAAGGTGGGCGGGCGCACGTCGGCGCGGAGCAGCGCGCTGAGCGGCGCCTCGCGCAGGCAGTCTACGATCATCTCGTGGTCGCGCAGCAGGTCGTCGGGCAGCGAGCAGTTCACCTGGTGGGCCAGCCGCACGGCGAACTGCACGGGGTCCTCCACCAGCGCCCACGAGGACAGCGCCGACCCGGACAGCAGGAGAGCGCGGTGGAACAGGCCTGCAACAGGGGTTCGATACAGTCAGAGTGGCTAGGAAAAGACGACGTTATCCTGTCACCTCCACAGAGCCGAGCAGAGCGGAGGGGCGGACGTCTTACGAGGGGATTGGGGTAGGAATGGGGCGGG